TACATATTCCAAAAACCATTGTGGAAACAATTCACGGTGTTTCTTGGAATACAAATGTGATGGATGTTCTCGCTTCATCATCTCTTCATGTTCATCTAAGTATGCCAATATCTCATCACAATTGTTCAATACGAACCAATGCGCTACCTCCATGTCATTTCTGGAAAACGACTCTCCTCGTACAGGATCTCCAAAGGGTCGTGCACTTTGGGCAAAAACAGAAAGTTGCTCATTTCTCTCACCTCCGTCATTATTGCTCTGAGGTCGATTGAAAGCCGTGTCCACATCTTTTAAATACATTTCACAGAAAGTAAGCGCCTCATATTGAACCCAAGCCTATACAATTGATCCTTCGGGCTTCGCTCTGTTGCGTACGCTTTTTTTCAGCTCTCCGAGAAGCCCGCCAAATTAAAATGAAAAGATGCAAATTAGCAGGTAGCAAGCATGTGATAAAGAAGCAACAACAGAAATGATGACAATTGTATACCTTTCTATTGGATACATCCAGCGATAGTTGACTGGACCAGCAAGCAATGCCTCTTCTGGCAAGTGAACCATCACGTGAATCATGCTTGTGAAGAAAGCTGGAGGGAATATCATCTCAAACTTACATAGGACTTGGACAATGTCATGGCGCAACTGATCAATGTCCGTCTTTCGCAACGTTTTTGCCGTCAGTTGGAAAAAAAATCTGGACAACAATATGATTGGCTTGACTACATCTTCCGGCAATAGGTGTCGAATCCCCACAGGAAGTAGGCGTTGCATAAACACATGGCAGTCATGGCTCTTGAGTCCAGTAAATTTACCCCCGTCAACATTCACGCAATGTGCGATATTAGAAGCATATCCATCAGGAAACTTTACAGACGATGCAAACTGTAGAAACTCTTTTCTGTCATTCGGTTTCATGGAAAAAAAATGCAAGATCTCTTATAGCTTTATCACTGCCCCTTTTCAGCCATAAACCCCTTCGTATGCCCATTCTTTCCAAATCAAGATGAGCTTTTATCGTGTCCTTTGTCTTCTCCTTGATATCTAGAATCGTTCCCACCAATGTGTCAAACACATTTTTCTCAACATGCATAACGTCGAGATTGTGCCTAATTTTAGTTTCGACCAATATGGAAGCTCAAAAAGTATAGACTTGTGCGTCCAGTTCATATGTGTAGCAGGTCTGGTCCGAGTAACTGATTTCCCAAACGGAGCAAAATCCAAACGGCTAAGCTGTTCCAAGATCTGATCACCGGACGATTCTCTAGGTCTTGCGCGACGCTCTTTGTTCCCGTCGAACTCTTTATCCTTTTCTCGCCACTCGTGGTCCCATGGCAACCATCTTCGATGCCCAAGGTAACACACTTTTCCAGCGTGCCAACCAGAAGTTACATCTTCCTTGCATACAGGG